TGAGGACGGGAAAACAGTCAGGGCCTGCAGGGGTTAGAGAAGAGGACGGGATTAGGGGGCAGAGCAGAGGGTCTGGGCACAGTGAAATGACTCTGTGTGGTCGGTGCTCTGACGACGGTTGCATGTCATCGCACACCTTTCCACACACACCACCAAGAGTGAACCATATGAACTCTAGGCCGAGGGGGGGTAATGATGTGCCGACAGAGTTTCCACTGTGACAGCGGCACTGTATGGGTGGGGGTGCTGCCAACTGGGGAAGCTATGCGTGTAGGGGGGCCGGAGGTATACAAGCAATCTCCACCCTGGCTGCTGTGGGTCAGCGGGTTGGGCGCTGTCCAGCAAAATGAAAGGTCATCAGTTCTATTCCCAGTCGGGGCACATGCCTGGGCTCAGGTCTCCAGTAGGGGGCAGTCGAGAGGCTGAAACCACACACTGATGTTTCTCCCCTCTCTTTCTCCCTCCTTTCCCCTCTCTCTAAAGATAAAATCTTTTTTAGAAATTAGGCTAAAGGTAAACTGAAAGTATCAGTGTGAACAGGTATTTATAAGCATGTGAACACACTCTCACATCTGTGTATTTACTAGTATGTCACTAAAATGAAATGACATGATTAATTCTCAACAAAAACAACATGATATTCATCCCAGACCTTAGATTTTTATCTCTAATACTCTTTTCTCCACTAAAAAAAAACAAACTAGGAGTCCTTACAGAGCAGTTGATTTCAGCATCTTGAGGTAAAAAGAAATGAGAGAGTGGCCTGAAAACGCAGTTTCCAAAGAGCGACGGCCTTTGAAACATTTTGAGATGACACTAAAAAAGGCCTGAGAAGCAGCCGTGAGGGGCTCCCACTAGCCACACCACAACAACTGAAACAGTTAAAAAAAACTTAATTATAATTGGCTGAGATATAATTAACCAATTCCAATTAACTAAAACAAGTTTACGAAGCCTTGATTATATAATGATTCTCAAAGAGAAGTGGAATTCCTCTCCTGGAGTAACTAGCACTTCATTCAAGTTGATTTCATTCATGAAGGAAAATGCAGAGACTGATGACAGCCACCGCCTCCAGCAGGAGGACAGGACTTTCTCAGCAGCCAACTGCAGCACGCTGACCAGCAGGGCACCGCTGACCCACAGGGCACCTCAAGGCGCCCACAGAGCAAATGCAGCACGCTGACCTGCAGGGCGCCTCAAGACCCCCACAGAGCAACTGCAGCCTTGCAGCTAACGTGAGTGACCTGACCGTAAACTTGCTCCAGAAGTGACCGCAAGTTTACGGAACTCTTTCCTCCAACGGGTCATGTGCAGGTTGGTGGCTCTGACGACTGCTCTTTATCCTTCTGTGTCGTATGTGCTCACTGCAAGGACTGGACAGAAGTCTCTCCAGGGACAAAGACTGACACACATGGCTTTCTCTAACTTTAATACATGAAGCTAAGATGAGAAATATGTCATCCTGCTCCTGGTAAAGCCTTGCACAGAACTCATTTGTCTGGACAACTCATAGGAGAGAGTGTGAGAAAATAGTTTACTGGTGGGGCTTACTGCTCCTCTGGTAAGAAAACATGAACATTTCAGAATGTCAGTTTTGTGATGCTGTTCCAAGCAAAGAAGACCAGCAGGCCACTGCCCAAGAATGAGTATGTCTGGTGCTTCCAGGAGTGAGCAAGAAGGCCGGTGGGGCTGGCGCCCAGGAGCCAGGGAAGGGGCTGAAGACGTGGATGGTCAGGCAGCCAGGGTCGGGTGGGCCGCAGAGCTTGAGAACCAGGGTAGGGACTTCGGTTTTATTTTAAGAGCCACTGGAGGCTTTGGATGGCTGACAAAGGGAAGTGGAGGACTCTCACTGTGGGTCTGAAAAGATCACGCTGGCGATTATGTGAAGAACAAGACTAGACTGGAGCAAAGTGAATTCGGAGAGAACAGTCTGGAAGTCCTTCATGCAGCCGCCCACGTGAGTGGCAGGCAGTGGCCAGTTCTAGAGGGACAGCAGTGGAGCAAGTGAAAGTGTTAGACTGAGGATACACTGTGAAGGTAAAGCCCACAGGGCTTTCCGGTGGGCTCCACACAGTCGTCGTTGCCACTGAACGCCGCAGGTGTGTCCTTGGACACCTTCGTCATCGTGCGGCCGTCACAGAGGGCACACACACAGACCTGTACGGCACAGCCAACCACCGTAACCGTGTGAGTGTCCTTTACCGACCAGCAGCACAGCAGGCCGGTTCTCAGCAGCACCAGCGCAAATGTATGAGTGATGTGTGTGCTGTGACGTTATGACGGCTGCAGCCCCACTAAGTGACAGGGGTTTCCTAACTCATTACAACCTCACAGGGCCTCTGTTTCTGTGTCTGTAGCTGGTGGACGCACCATTACGTGATGCATGACTGCGATTGAGCACGAACAGTGCCCAGTGGCACGCGCTGCAGTGGCCACACTGGGAGAGGGGCGGTCTCAAGGCAACGATAAACAACCCCACAGAGGCCACATGAACCTGGGAGCTCGCTGCACGCACGAGCAACGCTGAGAAGGACGCTGAAGATACAGAGTGTGTTCACAGCACAAACAGAGCTGGTGTTGTAACATCTTAGAGTCCACCACACGCGGGTCATATGTAAAGTCACTAAACTGAAAGAGACCACCTATGTATGAGAGAATGAGCCAAGGAAAATGAAGAGAGACCAGTGAGGCAGGAAGATAACATGAGAATGGGGTGTCCTGAAAGTTGTTTCCTATTTCTTTTTGATTTTTAAAAGGAGCCCCCACCCCACCGGGCTGAGCTTCAGGGAACAATCCTGACCACCGAGGCGATGTGGCCCTGCGGGGTCCCCGGCGACACTGAGAGCAGCGGTTCTGGTCAAGCAGGAGGAAGAGAGCCTGACTGAAGTCGAAGTGCAAGAAAGTGGTCAAAAGTAAGTGGCTCCCACGAATGTGGGCAATGCTTGGGAGGCTTTGCCACGAAGATGAGCAAGGCAGCAACACGGCAGCCGGAACGGGCTGCCTGGTCAGAGCAGTGACTTGGGTCTACAAAGGGCCCTATGGCGTGCTCAGAGGCTCCCAGCAGTGACTCGTGGAGAGGACAATTTGTGACACCCAGGAAAGCAGGAGGCGCGGAGTCCACAACAGATGGAAAGGGACCAAGTCCACAGACCAGAGCTGGCCTTCGTCAGCCAGAGATGGCGCTGACAGCAGGGACGGTGGACGGGACAGGCAGAGACACAGGCAGGAAAGCCTCGGTGTGGGTAAATGTGCAATTTCTTTCCCAGTTGCTTCTATTCTTTTTTCACTGAATAGGCAAGATCATGGACTGAAGAACGGAAAAACTGGGAGGAGGTTTAGAAGTCTGGAGAGAAGTGAAAGGCAGAATGAGCCCTGACTGCGGAGGTGAGAGAGGCTTCCAGTGAAGGTGGAACAAGTGGAGGGCAGCAATCAGGACCCACCTGAGACACGAGGGCCTAGGTTTACGATGGACCCAGTCAAGCAATGTTACGTTTTCCCAGATGTGAACAAACAGAACGTGGCTGTGTCACGAAGGCACAGCAGTGGGGGAAGGGCAAAGGAGTGGGGGTGCGAGGAGTGGGGGTGCGAGGAGAGCGGCTACAGGGACGAGTCAGAGGACCTAAGCTAGCAAAGGAGTGTGACAGCCCCATCAGTCAGACATTGGGAGTGAAGCAGCAATTGTCCTAGCGAGTGACTCAATGACAAAAGCTAAAACGTGACCACAAGAAGAAGTGGCTGAGGTGGGTTGGAGAATAAGATTTTTGAGAAAATCGAGGAGCTAGGAGGCCTGGATAGTGAACAGGTCATTCAAAGTGGCAACAGGGGAAGAGCATTGGAAGGCAGGCGCTAAGTCTCCAGAGAACGCAGGGGGCCCTCGAGAAGTACGGCCGGAGGGACCTGTGGCCCAGCCTGAAGGCATTGCCTTGACGAGACTTTGTCATCATCATGTTGAAAAACGTCACTTAAAGCTTCAGAGACTTTCACCAGGAAGTAACAAAAAAATTAGACACAGCGGGGAAAAATCATATGAAAAGGAACTAGTGGAGAATTTATATAAATTGGAATTTAAAGTAATGTGATAAATGTGCACCACAAGGTGACCCGCAGAATTCTGAGCCTCCAAGCTCCCCTCCTGTCAGGCTACCTACCCGGACCGACCCTGCTGGAACAGGAGGTGAGAATCAGGTAGAATACTTGAAAGCTTTCTGAGAATTGTACTGTATAATAGCAACACATTTGACACCGAAAGCATTTTACAAGAGTTGTACTTTAAAAGATATAGCACTTTCTAACTTTTCTCTAGAAACTGTGTGACTCTCTATAAGCATCAACAAGATGACATTCAACTTCAGGGAAAAAGCCTGTCACCGCATCTGAAGTCCACGCAACCACTGCTAACACATGGCCAGTCATCTTACACGCACAGCCTCTGAAGGACACATGAAGCCTCATCTCTTTGACAACTTATTAAATCGCTAAGTTCATGTAAATTTTGGAAACTACTTCTAGACAACCCAGTCTGCCTGCCCTTTGCAGATAGCACAACGCACATCAGCTTGTTTAAGCGCCCAACATCCAGCAGACCAGAACGTGTTTGGTCTGGCTTCACCCAGCATTTCACAGTATTATTCACTAACAGAACTGTTTTTTTTTTCCTCACATACATAATAACACACTAAGCTTTAAACAAACACTACATGGTCCTTAAGCCAGAAATATACTATGAGCTGTCATACGAGTGGCCTGGAATTACTGTATATGCCAGTTTTAATTTCCTTTCATCAAACATTTCTCTACAGATATGAAATAACTTCTACGAAATCAGCTCTGTAGGAGAAAAAAGAGAACTCAGCTTTATCACTTTGGCAAACTCAGGTTTTTCACTTTGTCACGACGGGTCTATTTGAGCACCAGAAATTTCGGAACTTGGTACCCGGACAAATGCTAATTGTGCACGTCATGTACATTGTTACAGTTTTTATGGTTTTGACCGCTACCTGTTTCCACGATATTTTCTGTTTCTGTTGTCTCCAGCCCATCCATGCTGTCCTCATCTTCCACGGTAGCTTTTCCTCTGCTTCGAGGCCTACAGAGAAATAAACACACGAGAGTTAAATGTTAAAAGTTAAGGCTTAGAATTAAACTCCATGTAGAGCACCAGTCGAAGGGATGCGAAATACAACAATGCAGACGCCTTCTCTGACGCCTCACCAGACTAAGAAGCACCCTAACACTCTACAGTTGCCTGCCCCCCGAACCCAGACCCCAGACGTGCTCCTGCCTACACGCCAGGGCAGGCCCAATCCACACACAGGCCCCGCCCACCGTGAGGCCTGGCTGAGCATGGTTGGTAGGGGGATCACCTGAGTGTGATAACATGTGGTTTTAATGTGAGCGCTGCACCTAAAGTGTCACACAGTGTGCTTCAGCGTGACACTGTTACATTACAGAATGACGTGCCTATGACTTTGTAATAAAAAAGGGATGTTATTTGCCCCAGACTCCATATTTGTCAATATGTCTCACCCCTTTAAAAACTCTACATTTTAAAGATTTTTTAAATTTATGTATGTCTTATTTTTAGGCAGAGGGGAGGAGAGGGCGAGAAACACCGCTGCCTCTCCCATGCCCCAAACCAGGAACCTGGCCGGCAACCCAGGCATGTGCCCCAACCAGGAATCCAGCGACCCTGTGGCTCGCAGGCCAGCACTCAATCCACTGAGCCGCACCGGCCAGGCCCTGGCTATACGTTTCTGGCCCCGTCCTTCTGTGAGCTAACCTCTGCAGTCCTGGCTTTGGGTCACCTAACAGGTTCTTTCCAAAGTTCACACCCCAGGTCACACTGCTGTACCCGGTGAATAAAGGAGTGATGCCCAGGCATATGCATTTCGAAGAAAGTGACACTACCCCTGTAAATCACTCCATGGAAGGAAACCCTAAACATGGAGCCTGATCATCACGCCCACCTTGCAAGCATGATGGACTTTAACTTATAAACACGTCAGTGAAGTAAACACAAGAGTCATGGTAAAGTGAGATTCTGTGATCCAATGCATCTAAAAACAAAAACTAATGCCCTTAAACATTTTCATGTCTTGAAAGTAAGGAATAGAGATGAGTCCAAAAACTAAAACACATACAATAAAAAACATGTTACATATAAAAAAACTTAGAAACTGACACAGCAATATTCAGATTTCAGCACATTAAGTTATTCGTCACTTAGAAAGTAAAGATTACGAATGACTCCATGTTTAATTGAAAACACTTAAAGAACAGAAAGTAAGAAATATGGGCAAATGAGAAAAAATGGAAAGGCTGTGTTAGACACCAGGAAACCCACCAAGTGTCACTCTGGAGAGGACGCTCCGCAACAAAACAATGAAGGAGATGTAAGAACTTTTAAAAGTGGTCAAAGTCCAACTGGTTTTATACATGAGTGACTGTCAATTGTCAAAAAGTCACCTCTACCCCCAAAACAATTAAGTAAAAATACCTGAACCAAAACCCTAACAAATATAGCCCCCAAAATATGAACAAACTAGCTAAATAAAAGATGAGTACATCAGAATACAAGTATAATTTAATATCAGAAATCTGTCAATAAAACACACCAGGTCAAACGGGCAAAAGAGCATCATTTGAAATTTCGTGTGGAAAAGGGGGAAGGAGCAGAACTGAATGAGAGACCACGAAGACTTAATGTTCCATATTAACTTTATGGATTAAAACTACTTGAATTCCTAAAACAATATAGGAGACTCGTACTCATGGAGCCACATGGAGGTGAGAAGACTGAAAATTACCCTCCAGCCATCAACGACTAGAAAACCAGGCAAAGTATGACAAACAGCCATCATCAGACACGGGACCATAGGCAGGGCCAGGCCTGGGCTCCCTGGGCAAAGGGAGACAAGCCAGGGGAGCCCGGCTGTCACCGGGGCTGTCCGTGGGGGGTTCGTTTCAGCGGCAGCAGAGTGGAACCCAGAGACCGGTGACTGTGCAGTCGCTGAAGGCCTCTGCATAGTTACCTGTCATCTTATCGGACGGGAATGAGACCTCCAGCAGGGGTGGAATTCTGGCCTACTCACTACCACACTCCCAGCCCCTTGAAGCACCAGACCTGACGCAGGCACTCAGCGTGTGTGTCGCTGAATGGAGACAGACAATGGCTCTCTAACTCAGGAGGAAAAATACAGATTTGATCATGAGATCTCAGGTAACTAACTACCTAACCATTCTAAAGATGCAAAGTATAGTTCTGCTCCCCACTGAGCACAAAAACAAAATTTCACATGGGGTCAAAGCTTAAAAGAATGTCATGCAACAGAATACTGAATTTTACGTCATTAAGGTAAATTTAAAAAATAAGAAATTTTGACCCCAAGGAAATAAGACAAAACTGTTATCATTGGCACACAGCATCGCCCACATTTACTTAGAACATACTGGTCAATCAACTGAAAAGGTACAAGAGTTGTGTAAGGCTGTCAGAGTGACACAGTAACATGAACAGCCACACCCTCCCCGTACATCGTGCTGAGCAGCAGCGACAGTTGAAACGTAATGAAACAATCCAGTTACTGGGAGTCACTTTAGTGAAAAATATAGTAAAACTGACTCACGGACATAAAGAAAGAAACAAGTAAACTGAGAGACCAATCGAATAGAAAAAGAGCACATGATACAAAGCAGCAATTCACTGATGAAATATAAAACGAGGAAGTGTTCAACCCACCGAGGAACCGGGGAAATCACACAGTGAAATGGAGAATGAAAGACACGGACAAAATGCAGTGGTGCTGGGAGCACAGAGAGACAACGACTCACACCGCAGAGCCGCAAGGGTGCAGGCGGGGCAGCACACGTGGGAAGGCGGTTCAGCAGTACCCACCCAAACATGAAGACGCACACCATCTGATCAGTTCCTCGTGTGGAAGGCTACCCAACCCCATGTGCGCAAATACAGATTTTATAGGCACACACACACGAGGATATTCACTGCAGCACACACAGTATAAAAGGCAGCTGAAGGGAATATTTAAATACAGTATGCTCCAGCCGTTCGATGATTCGGCCTCTATTCACTACAATCTAGAAGGACCTCTAAGACACAGTTTAATGAGAAACACTACACTACAGACTACACTTGATCCCATGGATGTGTCAAAAGTGTACACGAATGAATAAAGATGCACTTGAGTTTTATCAGGATGTGCATACACAAACACACACAGCAAAAACACAGGACAACACACACCACACCGGCAGCAGTGGTCTCCCCTGGACGTGCAAAGGGAAACCGAGGGCCAAGGGCCTTTCCGCTCCTCCTGAGTTTTCCATAAAGAGCATATATTCATCTACAATTAACAAATAAGGGAAGGGCTGAAAGACGGTTTGACTCGGGAACTGCCTGGAGAGTGTTTTATCCCCTATGCTCTGGCAGTTCCGGAGTTGCTGCTTGTCCCGCTGGACACAGCAGATCTTCCAGAATCCGACAGCTGGTGCACCCAAGGGCTGCTCTTCAGATCACATGGGAAAGTGGAGGGACAGTTTGCGGTGCCTGGGGTTTGCGTACAGTAACAGCAAGACACACCTGTGCTATCAAAGCCTGCACCTCTCTTCCACCCTCTGCCGCCTCTGACCATTACGGAGTCCATACGATGCCAAGGCCACCCGGAAACTGAAAGTCTGTGCCAGTTACTCAGGTTATAATACACACACACAAAAAATCCTGGTGACCATTTTTTCAAAAATTTGTTGACATACGAGGTCTGTCCAGAAGGTATCCAGCCATGTGATATGAAAAATAGAGACATTTATTGAAGAAGGTACAAGGTACAAGAAACAATGCACACAGGACAGCGATGCCTCAGTCCCCTTCACAGTAGGCACCTTGGGACCTCACACAGTTTTCCCAATTGCAATCAGCTGTCCCATTGTATTTTCCTGAATCTCATCATGGTCTGAAATCTCTTCCCTTTCAAAGGTGACTTTAATTCTGGGAAAAATCAGGAGTCGCGGGGCGTCAAATCTGGGCTGTAGGGGGGCTGAGTCACCTGGGTGATTTGATGTTTTGCCAAAAAACTCTGCAGGAGATGTGACATATGAGCAGGCACGTTGTTGTGATGAAGCTGCCAATCACCAGTTATCCATAGCTGTGGCCTTCTGAATCATCCAAATAGTTTCTGCAGAGGAATGTTCAAGCTTAACGCAAAATCTGATGCAGATTCATTGCTCTACTCAGTCATTTTGAATGCGACAGCCGCACAGTACTCATGCTCAAGCAATGGTGTCTACTGTCCCCACGGACTAGTACAGTGAGGTTGTCACTGTTTACTCATGCACATTCCAGTCCACTCTCCTTGGCTTCCAGGTTACATCGATGTCATGCAAACTGTTCTCATTATGTTCATGAACAATGGCTGGACTTTTTCCAGATAGACCTTACACACCTATGTATATGAACGTATGTTTATACATACGTACTCAATAAAAATTGAGTCACTGTATTACTGTTCTATGGCCGGAGTATAATTTGCCCCTTACGCCACCTAAAACATGTCACTTATTGGATAACATTAAATAATTTGTCTTAAAAATATTACTAACACAGTCATATTTTCAAAAGAGAAAAAAAATTTTCAACAGAAAAACAAAGAATATGGCCAGCAATGAAAAGAGAATGAAATGGCTTTTAAACATCATTTGTGCAAGTGGGTGGCCAGAAGTCTCACTCTTAGCTTTGTAAAAAATTTACAAGGAACCAAATAAAATGAAACATATAAAAGTTGCTCAGTTTCTCCCTCTTTGAAGAATGCTCTCATGAGCTCTTCCTTCCACAGCCCCACCCCTGCCCATGCCCACCCACCCCTCGGCCCAGGCCCTCAGAACCCAAACAAACCTCTTCCCGGGCCACTTCTTGAGTGGTTTCTGAATTCCATCTTCCCATTCTCTTAGTTGGGCCAGTTTTCCCAAAACACTGCACACAAGCCATGTAAAAAAGAAACTGGTGAATACTGAAATATGTATTAATCACTTGATATGTAGAACTTGCTTCAAAGTGACCCCAAATGCCCAGTGGAG